AGTTCAGCAAACTCCAGAGGATGATGGATGATAGGAGGGCCTGATGTGATGTGGTCCATGGGGTCACAACGAGTCAGGCTCGACTGTGCGACTGAACAATAACAACAGGACACCAGCTTTCAAAGACAAGCCTAATGATTTCACACTTATTGTACATGGATGACCTGAAAATGTGTACAAAGTCATCGTCAGAAATCGATTCTTTACTAAGTATAGTTTGAATATTCAGCAAAGATCTAGCAATAGCATTTGGTCTTGACAAGTGTGCAGCGTTAGCACTGAAGGGAGGAAAGACTGTTAAACAAGGAGAAATCAAGATGCCAAAGAACATCAAAACACTGGATTTTGAAGAAAAAATATCTTGGAATTTTGGAAGCTGACAACATCAAATATTACCCTTGTTCAGAAAAATATAACCGATGAGTTCAAAAGATATTGCAAACTAAATTAAATGGAGGCAGGGCCGGCTTGAGGTGTTTCTGCGTCCTAGGCGAGGCTGCCTTATGGCACAGATGCCAACCTCCCGATGGGGCCTGGAAACCTGGAGACCTCTGGAGCCAGCCACCCTTTTGCTGCCGCCACCACCGCCTCCTCCCCCCCACCGCCGCCACCACCAAAGGGGGGGAGAGGGGAGGCACAGCTTGGCGCCCCATCCAGGGCCCGGTGCTCTAGGCGAATGCCTAGTTCGCCTAGTGGATGAGCCGGCCCTGAATGGAGGCAAACGGTAAAGGGATTAACGTGTGGGCAGTCCCAGTTCTAAGATACACAGCTGGCATTATTGATTGGAAACAAACAGAATTATAAGCAAAATAGATCACAGAACTCACAAGATAATGAAGATGCATCACTCACTGCACCCTAGAAGTCATGTTGATCATCTTTACTTAACAAGGAAATTAGGTGGAAGAGGTCTCCTGAAAGTTAAGCAAGCAGCTGAAGAAGAAAAACAAGCAATGACTGACTGCAACAAGAAAAGCAAAGAGAAGCTTCTAGCTGAAGTGTACAAGGCAGTTATTTAAGGTGACAAAAAAACAAAGATTACAAAAAAGACTGAAATCAAAGCTCACTTTGACAACCAGAAGGGAAAGCACTCGCATGGGCAATATTTGAAAGACACAGAGAACAAAGCTGATAACAAAAACGCCTGGAAGTGGCTCCAAAATGGACACTTGAAGAAAGAGATGGACTCATTCCAGCCGCACTCAAAACGAAACGTACAAAAGCCGAGATTCGGAAGACTGGTGATGAGAGCAAATGTCGACTTTGCGAGACAAAGGATGAAACAGTCGACCACATGGTCAGTGCCTGCAGTAAAACTGGTCAAGAACGCCAGTAAAATTGCTCAAATTGATAATAAGGAACACCACGATAGAGATGCAGCTATGTTGCACTGGAATCTTTGCAAGAAGTATGGCTTACCATCAGCCAGTGTTAGCACTGAAAGGAGCACAAACCAGATAAGGGCACTTGCATGGGCAATATTTGAAAGACACAGAGAACAAAGTTGAGAATGAAAACACCTGGAAGTGGCTCCAAAATGAGCACCTGGAGAAAGAAATGGAAGGACTCATTCTACCTTGTGCCCTTGGACTGGTGCTAAAGTCAGCATTTCAAGTTTAAGCCCATCATGTACATCTCTTGAACTAAATCCATGGTGACATTTTTTTCCTTTTATGTTGGGCTTCACTCTTTTGATCATCAACCCATACCCTGTTATTTTGGGCTGTAGCTTACAGGCTATAATCGGCATGAAAATTATACTGCCATGATATGCGCTTATCTTACTAAAGCATACTAAAATCAATGGCCCAGCATCATTTCCAAAGGCATCCGTGGACGTCAGTCATTCAGTTCTCAATGATTTTTCTTCCACATGAGCCAAGCCAAGCCATTCTTTATGCTACTACAGAGCTTCATCCATTTACTGCTTCTCCCCTTTCTCTTTCCAGGAAGGCACTCAACAATTATTTTGCTCTATCTAGTTGGACCAGTCCACCCATAGGTTGCTTGTGCTGTAAACACAGCATTTGTTCACTGATACACTAGTGGCAATCTTCCACCCAGTTAATAGTTAGACGTACTTGCATTTTGATTGCTCTGAAACCTTACCACCCAATCCCAGGTGCGTTCCTTCATCAATCATACTGAGTTCATGGAGCACCACACAAAAGTAAATATCCACAGGACCAGTGTTCCCTCAAAGCTGAGTTAGTGTGGCTTCCGGTTTATGGAGCAGCGATGGTGGACGTTCTCCCAGGACCGCAGGGGAACGATCCGCACACCAGCGGGTTGGAGGGGTGCTACCTCAAGTAGCACCCCCACGGAGCCTTTGGGATAGGCTCCAGGTCAGAGGGCTTTTGAGGGGTAGCCTCTTCAATGGCGTAAAGCTGGAGAATTTGAGGCTCCCCACTGCCCTGACGGTCTGGCCGCTGCGTGGCCTTCGGGCACAAGCTGGTTTGACCGGGACAAGTGCTGGAGATCGAGCGGAACAGCATTGAAGCAAGCGAGGTCAGAGAAATTGACCGACAATGAACATGAGTTCAAAGTAAGCGGACTATTGTAAAAAGAAAATTACCCCCCCCCGTGGGAAAGCGGATCGCAAAGAGGGACGCCTCTTATGTGAAAAGACTGATAAGCAAGACGAAGGGGGAAGGGGGAGGAAAAACAGCGAGTGTGTTTTGGGAGGCTTAGTTGATTGCTGACAGCGTGGGAGCCATCTTTAGAGTTGGAGGGAAGCGTCAGAAACTGTAAACAAATCGTAAAAAATGGCTGCCATGCAAAGAACGCTGAAAACGAAACCGCCTGGCAGCCAGAGCCCAAAACCAGAAGAGGGAGCAGACGTCATGAAAATGCTAGTGGATATGCTCAAGCCAGTGATGGAGCAACTTGATGGTATTAACCAGCAACTGACTGTAATGAATAAAAACTTTGCATCTCAGCACCTCCAACTGAAAGAAACGGAGAAGAAGGTGGAGCAGGTAGCTGGGAAACTTAAGGAGTTGGACACCAGAAAGCAAGAAAATGATGAAAAGAATGGGAGAAGTGGAAACAAAGCAAAATCTACAAGAAAACCATTTGTTACAGCTGCAGATGGAAAAAGCCAACATGATTCTCAGATTCCAGGGAGTTCCTGAGGCAGAGAAGGAGGATCTGAGGAAGATACTTAGTGAGATCATCGCTCCAGCAATAGGCTTAACAGCAGATGAACTAGTAAAAGAGATGGAGACGGCTTATGGGGCTTACTCCAATTACACAGCCTGCCTGGAGAAATTGTGGTCAGATTCTCAAGAAGACAGACCAGTGATGCTATTTTAAAGGCGACATCTAAGCAGAAGACCAGACTGCTAAACCACCTCCATTCCTGCAAACAACCTAAGCAGAAGACCAGACTGCTAAACCACCTCCATTCCTGCAAACAATAGAAACAGAGCACGACCAGCCTGGCTCCATTGGGATACAAATGCCTCATAATAAAATAAATAATAACATGTGACTTTGTTCTGGCATTAACAAATTGATCTTCCTCCTGTATCTTTGCTTCCCCTCGACTTTTGTACAACGCTCCCAGCTCGGCGTATTGAATTTTTTGACTGATGTGAGCTACCTGGGAAGACAACGGTTGCCTAAAAAGCAGGCTAGAAAAAATAAATCAGGTCTGGGACTACAGCCTTAATTTACCAGAACCCGTTAATTTTTAAGTGATCGTGTGTTAGACCCATTTCGTGTGAACTCATTTGTTTAGAAAAGTCATGAATCCACATGAAACAAGCCTGGAGAAGAGCTTTCCCCTTGGGGGGGGGTCAAACTCAATAAAATGAGTAAATATGACCATTTTGACAACTGATAGAAGCCTATCGTAAGCTGCCCTGAGACTCTTTCAGGTAGTGAAGAGTGGGGTATTAATCCAATCTCTTCTCTTCTTCTATTAAGCTGCTCACAAGACAGACTCTCCTTTGCTTTCCCCTTCACTAGCTATTAAAATGATGGGCAAATGTACCAGGATCCTAAGAACACGAGAGAAGCCAATGTTGGGTCGGGCCAATGGCCCATCCAGTCCAACACTCTTGTGTCACACAGTGGCCAAAAAGACCAGGTGCCATCAGGGGGTCCAGCAGTGGGGCCAGGACACTAGAAGCCCTCCCACTGTTGCCCCCACCCAAGCACCAAGATGACAGAGCATCACTTGCCCCAGACTGAGAGTTCCAAGAATGACTTGTGTTTGCATGTGTCAGAGGGCAGCCATATTGGTCTGCAGTAGAACAGCTAGACGTGAGCCCGGAAGCTTCTGGACTTGAATCTACCCTTCGTTTCAGCAGTGGATTGCCACAACCTAGACTGTGGTTGCAATTTGTGTAAGTTTGAGGGTTCCTTGCCAGACAACATAAGGGATGTTTGTTCGGGCCCGTATTTACAGTAGGGCATCTCGGGGCTGGCCCCCCAACTTACTGGCAAGGCCCCAAGACTTCCCATTCAGCTCAGGGCCCCTGAGTGGCAGTGGGTGCGGGGAAGCAGCCGGGTATTCCTGCGCAGCTGTCCAGTGCAAGGGACCATATTAAATCGCCTTTATTTAGATTAGCCAGGGCCCCCTAAGAAATTTAAATGCCCCCCGACTAAAAAAACCCCTGGCCATGGGCCGGTGTTTGTTCTAGAGAGCCCTGATCTTGTGGAACCAGTAGCTTTCTTGGCCATCATCTCATCATACCCTAAAAGAAACGTAGCTATTTGGGATTATATACGTTGGTTGATAAAACAAAAGAGCATGGATTGCTCTTCCATCTTTTATGTCAGATGCTCGCCGTTGTACAATAACTATGACTTTTTTTATTTGCAAGAACTATTAGACATAGTTCTAGCAGTTTCCCCCTAACGTACAATTACTCGATAAAACAACACTGTGGAACAATAAAATATTAACTCCTTCATTTGTATGCTAAAGGCTATGTTTGCTTGTTTTTTAAAGCCCATTAAAAAAAAAAAGGCTGTAAACTCCATTGCCATACCGTACTGTTTCCAGTCCACATTTGAAGGCAGATTCTTCCACAGAATAAGATTGTTGAGTTGGTTTAAGTACGAGGGCAATGCGTGGAACCCTTTCTGATTATACCATGCCTAAAATATAAGAAAAGATCATTTTAGAACCTGGAAGGACCACGTTCGAAACCTCACCGTCTCAAGACCAGAGTATAATTTTATTTATTTATTTCATTTATCATCCGCCATTCTTGCAGAGACTCCAGGCAAACTGTTTGTTATTGTTGTTGTTCAGTCACACAGTCAAGTCTGACTCTTTGCGACCCCGTGGACCACATCACGCCAGGCCCTCCTGCCTTCCGTCGTCCTCCGGAGTTTGCTCAATTTCATGTTCGTTGCATCTATGACACTATTTAACCATCTCATCCTTTGCCGTCCCCTTCTTCTTTGACCTTCAGTCTTTCCCAAAACCAAACAAGGACCCATGGTAAGTAGGAAAACCAACATACAACAAGTACCGTGCACTCACTGGAGAAGACCCTGATGCTGGGAAAGATTGAAGGTCAAAGAAGACGGGGGACGGCAAAGGATGAGATGGTTAGACAGTGTCATCGATGCAACGAACATGAAATTGACCCAACTTCAGAGGACGGCGGAAGACAGGAAGGCCTGGCGTGATCTGGTCCATGGGGTCGCAAGGAGTTGGACTCGACTGTGCGACTGAACAACAACAACAAATAGGTCAGAAACAACTTGACGGCACGTCACACACACACATACGGGCCATTCTGGCTCCTTCCCAGGGTATATATGCTTGTTGACAAATATGAGAAGCGGAGCATGGGCCCAAGACCCTTTTGCTTCTAGCTTCTCTCCTAACCCCACCCCTGTCTAAAATGAGGATAGTGAGGAAGATAGATAACCAAGGGTGTTTTTTTTTAAAAAGTTACATTACTAAGGTCATTCAGGATCCTGCTACTTTCTGAATGTGACCCTGCTTAGTGACAAAGAAAATGTGCTTTCCTATTAGTCAAAACTCTGGAACTAAACAATCCATTCTTAAGTATCTGCGTATTATTTTTCATGCAGGCAGCTAGGGGTTTTTCCCCAATATATTTTTTAATTATGAAATGGTGTTGACTGACTCATCTTGCCGTAGAAGGGAATAATTTGCAATGTTCCGGTCAGAGATTTTCTAGATTGTAATGAATCATACAGTGGCTCTCTTATATCCCAATTCCCCATTTTTCTTCATAAAAGTCTGAGCAAACGGTACACTGACTGTCACGTTTCCAGGTCCAAAAGGTCAAAAGAGAAGTGTGGTCATTAATTACAGAAAGGTTAATTCAATAAGTTGATACGACATCAATCAAAAGTCACTTTGAGGTTAGTATTTTAGATAATACAGTGGCCTTTTTAAAAACTAAGACACAATTGTGTTCTGCTCAGGGGGATAAAAAAAGGAGGGAGATTACTCAACAACAACATGGTTGTAATTTATTGTGGCACTGATTATGGGGGGGAGTGTGTTCCGAAGTTCCTAAAAATAATGAGAAAAGCTACTTGGCGGGTCATGTCGGAACAAGCTGGAATACATTGTCGGTAAAGAACATAAAAATATAGTCAGGGAGACACAACATATTTGCTACTCATATTGCCTTCATTGCCCATTTTGGCACATCACCAATGGAAGGCGTTACAGGAAGCATAACAGAATAAAATGGTAAAAAGTAAGCAAACCAAAGTCTTTATAAATATAGTTGACCTTTCTATAAAGAGGTTCAGTTCGACCAGATTAACGGTAAAGGAAAGGTTCCCGTGCTCAAAAACCAATCGAATCCGACTCTAGGGTTGCGGTGCTCATCTCCGTTTCAAAGCCGAAGAGCCAGTGCTGTCCGAAGAACGCTGTTACCTTCCCACTGAAGTGGTACCTATTTATCTACTTGCAATTTCTTGCTTTCGAACTGCTAGGTTGGCAGGAGCTGGAACTAGAGATGGGAGCTCACTCCAACATGCGGCACCCGGGTCTCAAACTGCTGAACTACTGACCTTCCACAGCCTGCAGTTCAGCGTCTTAACCACTTGAGCCACCATTAGTTGCAACTATATCCCATTTCTCATTTCCAGTTTTCCACTTTCCGATGTTGAGAGTTTTGGCTATCAGGAATGGCTGCTTTGCCCTGACCTGGATAGACCAGGCAAGCCCGATCTCATCAGATCTTGGAAGCTAAGCAGGGTCGACTCTGGCAAGTACTTGGATGGGAGACCTCCTTGGAATAGCAGCAGTCGGGAGGCGGGGGCAGGCCTTACTCAGCCACCTCTCTGAATATCCTCCAGGCCCCCAGTAGGGGTCAGTCACCAGAGGTCACCATGACTTCCAGGTGCACACTCACACACACACACACACACACATCTAAAAGAATACAGGAATGTTTGTTTTATCAAAGCTTGGGAATAAAAGGACTCCCTACAACCATTGCCAACCTCAAGCAGCAAAGGGTTGAGTTGCTTGTTGGGAGAAGTGTTGCCATTCCCTGTCTCAGACAAAGGGTTAGAAGGTTCTGGAATGTCCACATCTAAAACTTCAAAAGGATTCATACTAGCAATAGAAGACTTAGGAAAGGTTGGGGGGAAAGTATATAATTGGGGGGCGGACCATACAGGGTACAAGCAATCCCCAGTGTGGCAGCCAGGAGCACCACTCCACCTACCAATCTCTTACTCAGCACCTACTTTCCTCTTGACTCTCGGGGATAAAGATCAATGTGTCTTTTTTTTAAGACCCCCAAAGGGGATTTTTTTTTTTTTATAATACTACATAAACTACAAAGAAAAGAAAGAAGGGGAGCTACAACTAAGGAGAAAGAAAAGTAACCCACACTAAACTAAAAACCCAACAGTAGGAGATCATTACCCTGTTAGATTGCAATTAGTAATGGGGGAAAAAACAATATACTTTGTGAGATCCTGTCTTTCTAAGCTTATGTGTTAGTTTGTTACTTGTTATGAGAAGATTTCCAGAGCATCTCCTCCAGCTCTCTTCGTAAGGACAATTTTCAGAGTCTTTCTGCGCTTACATCTATGCTAATTCTCTCTAAAGTCTTGATGGCTTCTTAGACGTTCACTCGAAATTCTGCAACCCTTCTCCATCTCCAAGGCTGTTGACCAGGAAGCTCAAGGCGTTGGAGCAAGACAGCACCAGCACGGAGGTGACCACCACAATGACAGGTCGTGTAAAAGCAAGGTCCACAATGTGGCCCTTTCTGTGCCTGTATTTTGCCTTGGTATCTGGGTGCATCCTATTCTTCCACTCTGCATTCCCTCCTGCTTTCAAGTCCGGCTTGTGTCGGGGCTTTTTCTTGTTTCTGCATTTGTTTTACAGGAATCTGCATTCAGACCACTTCCAGCACACGGTTGCCTCGTAGCTACCCAAACTCCTTTTGCTGGGATCCTTTGTTCTCACCCACTTTCGAATCACTAATCCTTTCCAAAGTAGAATTGTTTCTGCGGGTATTTGAGCGCTGCCCGCTGCCCTCCCCTGGTTCTGCCTCTCTCTCTTTAGGTTGACTCCCCTTTCCTGTTCTGTTTTCTTTCCCTCCTTCTCCAAAGTCAAAAGAGGACACGTGCCCTCCCACTCAGGCAGACTTTTAAAAAGGCAGAGAGAGCATAAGAAGCAATCGGTAAATATAAAGGACTAGGGGTTTCCCTGCTCCTAAATGTGTCAGTCTTGCATGTGTGGGTCTGGATTTTCCCCTCCCCTCCCTTTCTTTTTGCAGAATCCCGGAGGGAGGGAGGGAGAGAGGGAGGTAGGGAGGGAGGGAGGAGAGCTTGCTTTGCTGGGCTGCCTCAATTGTATGGGAAAAATGCCAAGCTCCTTTAAGGCCAACCAAGTTTTGTTCAATGTATGAGCTTTTGTGTGCCTTGCTACAGTGTGTGTGTGTGTGTTCTGTTGGGCTCCTTATGCTGTATGTGTGTGTGTGTTGTTGGGCTCTTTATGCCAGGGCTCTCCTGGGTGCAACTGGGTTCCCTCCCCCTTTTCACTGTATTCATGCCCTCATGATCCAGTCTTTCTCAGTAGGAAAGCCATATGAACTATTTAGAAGAGGAATAACAACAAGCCAGTGAGGTGGATTAGGCTGAGATTGCGTGTCCAAACCAGATTCACCCAGCACATTTCCTTTGTAGGAAGTTGTAGTTATTTCTCTGGGGGATAAAACTAAAGTGCAATTTAGGGACACATTCAGCGGTGCCACTGCGCTAGGTCGTGTAATGTATCGATCTCAGACCACGTGCGTGGCAAGGGCTCCACACGGTCAGGCGAAACGTCCGAGCTTCGCTCCAGAACACAATGGACTAAGCGGATCCTAGCTGCACCAATCGGTGAGCTAGGCTCCAGGCTGAGAGCCCATGGAACTCTCAGCCACTGTAAATAACCAATCACTAGAGTGGGGTGTGTTTTGGGTGTGGGGTTTTCAGGGGATATAAACTGGCCTGCGAGCCGGCTAGTTCGTCTTGTTCTGCACTAATAAAAGTATGAGAACTGAAATCACTCGTCAGTCTCTGTACTTTCCAAAGAGACAGTGAGGGACGTGGAGGCACTCCATGAAATTGCTGAGCGGTCGGGTTAGAACGGATAAAAGGAAGTACTTCTTCACCCAAAGAGTGATTAACACTTGGAATTCACTGCCACAGGAAGTGGTGGCGGCTACAAGCACGGACGGTTTCAAGAGGAGATTAGATTAGCATATGGAGCAGAGGTCCATCAGTGGCTATTAGCCACAAGGTATAGCTAGGGGCTCTGGGGCAAGTGATGCTCTGTCTTCTTGGTGCTTGGGGGGGGGTCAACAGTGGGAGGGCTTCTAGTGTCCTGGCCCCACTGGTGGACCTCCTGATGGCACTGGTATTTCTGGCCACTGTGTGATACAGAGTGTTGGACTGGATGGGCCTTTGGCCTGATCCAACATTGGCATCTCTTATGTTCTTATGAGAGGGAAGGAAGGTAAATGTGATGAAAAATCCTCCCACCCTAAGGCTCCCAAAGGAGCTCAGAATAGCAATAGGAGAGTTTTCCCCAACACTCTCATTTTGTACATGCCCACTTTTTTGGAATTCCCTTTGGGCAACTGTTCTCTCTATAAATTCCTCTGTAAATGTGTTATGTGCTGGGTTATCTGTATAGCTTTGTAAGCGTGAGCTTCGGTCACAAGCTCCACAGACAATCAACATCCTAAACTAAGCAACCGGATTGGTCGCTGTTGCTAAACACACCCATCCAGAATGACTCTGACCTTCGGCAGGAACAATTCCTATTGGTCCCAAGCACTCATCAGTGATTGGACGTTATTGTTCCAGGGGTTTCCCTGGTGCAAACTGTATATAGTTGGATTATTCTGTGTGTTTGTTGTGTTCTGAGCTAATTAAGAAATCACTTGTTTGGAACGCTGCCTTGATCTCAGTAAATAATACAATGCTTCTGTTTTAAATTTCCGAAGCAGATTGCCAATCACACAAGTTTGGTTTTAGGAATGCTACTGCTTTTTTTCTTATTGCTGCTATTAAGTTTTAATGATTTCTTTTCTGATCTGTGAGATGCGATGCTTAGAGTATAATGACTATACAGGAAGATATAAAACTGCCTTCTATCTGCTGGTCCATAGCATTATTATCCAGCCTTTCTTGCAAGGAATTCAGGGTGGCTTCCTCCCTTTCCTACTTAATCTTAGAACAACCCAATTAAGTAGGTCAGGCTGAAAGACTGGCCCAAGGTCACTCAACCTCAATCTCCCAGACCCTTGTCTGACACTTTAATCACTTTACAATACTCAGGGTATAAATCCATCTGCCACCACGGCCATCTGCATTGAAAGTGAAGAGGACCTAAAGAGCCTCTTGCTCAGGGTAAAAGAGGAGAGCGCAAAAATGGGCTTGAAGCTCAACATAAAAAAACCCTAAGATCATGGCATCCGGCCCCATCACTCCTTGGCAAATAGAAGGGGAAGTCGTCGAAGTAGTGACAGACTTCACGTTCCTGGGATCCCAGATCACCGCAGACTGTGACAGCAGCCATGAAATTAAAAGACGCCTGCTCCTTGGGAGGAAAGCAATGGCGAACCTAAACAGCATGATAAAAAGTAGAGACATCACCCTGCCAACAAAAGTCCGCATGGTCAAAGCAATGGTATTCCCAGTAGTCATGTATGGCTGTGAGAGTTGGACTATAAGGAAGGCCGAGCGCCGAAGAATAGATTCTTTTGAACTATGGTGCTGGAGGAGACTCTTGAGAGTCCCTTGGACTGCAAGAAGAACAAATCAGTCAATCCTCAAAGAAATCAACCCTGACTGTTCCCTGGAAGGCCAGATAATGAAACTGAAGCTCAAATACTTTGGCCACCAAATGAGAAGGGAGCACTCACTGGAGAAGACCCTGATGCTGGGAAAGATTGAAGGTCAAAGAAGATGGGGACGGCAAAGGATGAGATGTTTAGACAGTGTCATAGATGCAACGAACATGAAGTTGAGCAAACTTCAGAGGACGGCGGAAGACCGGAAAGCCTGGCGTGATCTGCTCCATGGGGTCGCGAAGAGTCAGACTCGACTGTGCGACTGAACAACAACAGCAATTCTCCAAGGTCTCAGGCAGAGAGTCTGCCCTGCATCGCTAGGACAGGCTTTTAACTGGAGATACTGGGGGGGTTGACCTGGGCCATCATACATGTAAAGCTATGACTCTGCTAGATTTTACTGCACAAAAACAACTAATACATGCTTGGAAATAGATTTTACAAAACTTAATGTCTACAAAAGATAAAGACTGCAGACAAGATGTTACCACTGCATGCTTTGTATTTTGTATTACATTTCACTACAGTGGTTTGTATAAACTGGGTGTGGGGGGGAGCATTTGAAGAGAAAGTCTCAGTAAAAGAAGGACGGAAGTTATAGATCTGTTGGGTGGCTTCCTCCCTTTCCTACTTAATCCCAGAACAACCCAATTAAATAGGTCAGGCTGAAAGACTGGCCCAAAGTCACTCAACCTCAATCTCCCAGACCCATGCCTGACACTTTAACCACCATACAATACTCAGTCAAGGTATAAATCCATCTGCCACCACCGCCATCTGCACTGATCTACAGCAATTCTCCAAGGTCTCAGGCAGAGACTCTGCCCTGCATCACTAGGACAGGCTTTTAACGGGAGATACTGGAGGGTTGGGATGAAGTTGAGCAAACTTCAGAGGACGGCGGAAGACCGGAAAGCCTGGCGTGATCTGCTCCATGGGGTCGCGAAGAGTCAGACTCGACTGTGCGACTGAACAACAACAGCAATTCTCCAAGGTCTCAGGCAGAGAGTCTGCCCTGCATCGCTAGGACAGGCTTTTAACTGGAGATACTGGGGGGGTTGACCTGGGCCATCATACATGTAAAGCTATGACTCTGCTAGATTTTACTGCACAAAAACAACTAATACATGCTCAATGAAATGTATTTGACTTGAAAATAGATTTTACAAAACTTAATGTCTACAAAAGCTAAAGACTGCAGACAAGATGTTACCACTGCATGCTTTGTATTTTGTATTACATTTCACTACAGTGGTTTGTATAAACTGGGGGGGGACCATTTGAAGAGAAAGTCTCAATAAAAGAAGGACGGAAGTTATAGATCTGTAGAGCTTACCTTAGCTATTAGCTTATCGTGAGGCTTCTTTGCTCTTGCGATCTGTGGTTCAGTAGCTGGTGTCTCTCCAAAAGACCAGCCTCCAAATCTGATCATGCAAAAGGAGACAACAGCAGATTGTCAGACAGCGGCTATCAGTTCCTTAGTAGGATATGAAGGAATATTAAGAACTGCCTTCTATTACCAGGACATCAGATGAAGAAATAAAGTTCTGAGATGTAAGACAGAAATGACCACAGACTGTCCACGCAAGTCCGAGCAAACATGGAACAGTGAGGAACGTTCTCTAAAATATTTCTGTTTACCTTGCTTTGTTAGGAGGCCTGATTAAGTACTCTTCAATGTTGAGGGCTGAAAGGTTGTACAGGGTATGCCCTTTCTTGTTCTTCATATAGGGGGCAGAGATATTGAATGCTGGACATGTCTGAAAAAACCACATACGTCAATCAGTTTTGGAAAGTCAAAGCATTTTATTTTAAGCTATATATTTTTTTTTAAATCCCTGCTGGAAATTCACACCTTCCTTCTCAGCACCATCCTAAACAGAGTTATGCCCTTCTAAATCCACTGAAGTTAACAGGCTTAGAAGAGTACACCTCTGCTAAGAATTGCACTGCCAATATACTGATAAGTGTCAAGAACCGTTCAATGTAGTAGGCTCACAGGGACTTTTCAACTTTCCCATGCTTTCAAAAGCTGTTCTCAAAAGCCATTCGTAGAGACATTCCTTGATAAGCAAGGAAAGAAGACTGGCAACTTCTATGCATGTACGGAAGAACTTCGTATGCACACATGGAACTCTTTGGGTCCTTCCCAGACTCTGTATTTTGTACATTTCAGAATTCCTGTTATGTGTCCCATCATCGTGACCTCGCTGAATAGGATATAGGCAGGGGTCATTTCCTGCAGGAGCGCACAGGAGCAGAGCTCCGATAGTAAAGAGCCCAGGGGGCGGGCACATGCAACAAGCCCCACCCCCTGCTCCCAGCAGCCCTCAGTCAGAGCAAGAAGCAGCCAGGTAAGTTGCAGAGGCCCCCCTCTCCCCCGGTCCAAAACAGTCCAGTGGCACCTTTAAGACCAAGTTTTATTCAGGTACAAGCTCTCCCTCCTCTGCGAGGACAGATCTGCTTGTTTCCCCCCCCCCCCCAAATAGCTAGCAATCCAAAACAGTCCAGTGGAGCCTGAGCGGTGGGTGTTGCCTTCTGACACACTTCCGGTGATGTCAGGGGGTGTGGCATATGCAAATAAGTTATGCTAATGAGTTATGCTAATAACCTCCTGCACCTCTTTTTCTACAAAATGACCCCTGGGTAATTCAGACAAATAAATGTAATAACTGTTGCAATCACCTGAGTCAGCTTTGAGGAAAAGATCAAAAACTTCATTGCTTTGATTTTGGGAAGAATCAAACAAATGCAAACATTGTGAGACTTTTACTATTAGCATCCGTCATTTCCTAAAGCTGGAATTATTGCACAGAGAAGTAACTAGGATGGGCAAAAGGAAATTTTTCTTTACACAGAGATGGATTAAAATGTAGAATTCTCTGCCAGAGGATGCAGCGGTGGCCACAGAAATATATAATTTAGGATACGTCTCTCAGTGGCTACTAGCCTTGATGACTGAGGGGAACTTCCATGGTCAGAGGAAGTAAACCTCTGGATCCTGGTGTCAGGAGGCAACATCAGGGGAAGGTCTCAGTCTTTATGCCCAGTTTTTGGCCCTCCAGAGGAACCAGCAGGATGCTGGTTTGTGTTCAGTGGGTAAGATGGATAGTTTCCAGATTCCCCTATATTATTGGAACTGAAAGATACGTTGGCATAGTCTATAATGTATTTACTCAAATGCAAGGCTATGTGTTTCCAGGTATGCTGTCAAAAAAGAGGAGGTCATCTTACATTCATATACAAGTTATAGTTATGGCCAATAATTAAAAAAAAACACATGGGGGTATCTTATGTAAATATGGTATATGCTGGCATAGTAACATGTTTCTGCTGGCAGAGATATAATGGGGAGAAAGTAATCAGAGGAGAACATATTAAGACCCCCGCTGGATCAAACCAAGGGTCCATTTAGTCCAGCATCCTGCCCCACAACAGAGCTGTTCTTATGAAGGCCTCAGCCTCTGTGCCCTGTTGTTGGCCCTCCAGAGGAACTGGTTGGCCTCTGTGTGAGATGGGATGCTGGATTAGATGGACCACTGGTCT